CAGTGTCCATAAATACAATTTTACTGGAACACAGCCATACCCATTTCTTATGATCTGTGTCTGCTATTGCGCCGCCGTGGTAGACCAACACGGTGCTCATCCCCGCAGCTGGGTGCCTTCCCAGTGCAGTGCTGCGGCCACAGCCTGAGTGTCCAGGCTGCGCTCCTCATCCTCGCACCACACTCTCAGTCCTGCTGGTCCTGTCAAAACAGGGCCGAGAACTGCTGTGCTCTTTGGACTGTGGAACGTGGATTGCTTTTATAAAGTCAGATGACGGAAGCCTTGTGTTTTTTTGTGGGGCTATTTTTTTCAGTGACATAAGAGCTGCGCTAAAGAGTCTGCTACCCGACTAAGTGTTCACAACAATATTCACAGTGCATAAGAAAGTAATGGTCAGAAACAGAGAAAACTTAATGGAATAGCTCAGCACAGCAGAATTTCATCACCAAAATTTTAAAAATTGAAACAAGTCTATAACCAAAGTCACTTTCCAAGTGGTTCATGTCAGCTAAGCAAGAGGACCCATTTACAATGGTGATTACTTAAATCGTATTTACTCGCAACAGCTCTAAAAATGTATGCAGAATAAATAAATTTAAGACTGTTGGACTTTTGGCACCCACAGTTGTGGAAGAGTTGAGGACATTGGGGGCAACACCCAGAAGTCAACAAGAAAGCAGGCACAGGGATGCAGAGAGCTAACTGTTCATGAGTGTCCTTTACAGCACTATTGATCTCCAAACACACAGAAGGTGAGAACCACCTGTTTGTCAGCAGATGACGGGATAGACATTCAGTGGGAGATTACTCCACTCTCAAAAGAAATGAAGTCCCGACCCAGAACAACCCGATGAACCTTGAAAACCTTATACTGAGTGAAATACGTTTAAACAAAAGGATAATTTTCTTTTATGAAGTATCCAAAATAGGCGAATAAATGTATAGACTAAGGTGTATTTGTGGCAACCAGGGTCTGTCTGGATGGAGGAGGAAAGGGCGGGGCCAGGGCCGGGGAGGAATCCTGTTGAGGCGTGTGGCCACTGTCAGAGGGCTGCAACCACGCATAAATGGAATAGTGCCACTGAGCTGTGCATGTACAAAGGCTACAGTGACAAGTGGTGTACTTCTTATGTCTTTCTACACTAAGGACTTTTAAGTAAAGTATTGTGAGTGGTTTTCCTTGACTCCTGCTGAGTTGCAAGCTATTACAACTACTCTGAAGTCATTCAAGAATTGGTTGCTATAAATTCTATGTGTGGAATCCCTAACTGGAGGCAAGAATATTTTCAAACATTTCAAGAAACATAAACTTAGTATAATCTGAAGTAAAATCTGCTAAAAATTCTGATAAAAATATGTGTGGAACAGAAAAGGGCTTTGTTGGGAAAATTTACCAAGCTTGTGAAAAATTTGAGGTATTTAAAATCCCTGTTATTCATTGTACTTCATCACCAGCAAGCACTTTGCAAACTATACTTCAATCTGTCATATGTTATTGAACCAGTGTTGTGAAGGGTGACCTTTAGTTACTGATAAATGATAATGAGCCATGCTAACTTCGTCATCAGCAGTTCTGTGAATTTCTTTCAGAGTAGAAACTGAATATCCTGAGTTGCGGAACCACACGGCAGTCCAATAGCTTAGCATTATTAAATTTTATTGTGATATTTTAGCTCAAATTTCAAGACTTGATAATAGTTGTTAATGAAACCTAAAATTACAAGGCAAACTGCATATCTGCAAAGCTTACCTAGCTGTGAAATCACTTTGGTGACCACTTTGTTTGAACAAGTAATACTGCGTTGTTTTGTACACTTCCTGTGATGTCAAAGTTAAAATTGAAAGTATAATACATCATCCAAGCTCAAACTATGGTTCCAGCAGGACTTTCAGACCACAGTGCAAACAAAAAGAAATTTCTGTATTTCAAAATTGATTCAACTCTGCAGTGAAGGAGCTGTTTTACCTATAACCCTCGATTGGAGGCATAGGTGAAGAGTCAGTGGCACGCTATAAATAACCCCGAGGGCGGCCCAGGCTCCTCTGTGTGGATCTTGTGCTTGTGGATTGATAGCAGGACTTACACAGCGGTTCTCCACCTTCCTGATGGCGCGACCCTCTCATACAGTTCCTCATGCTGTGGTGACCCCCAACCATAAAATTATTTTCGTAGCTTCTTCATCACTGTCATTTTGTGACTGTTATGAATCAGGCGACCCCTGTGAAAGGGCCATTGGACCCCAAAGGGGTTGCGACCCACAGGTTGAGAACCGCTGACCTAATATTAGCAGCTCTGTGAACAGACACAAACATTACAGATGGGCATTCACAGATGCACATTTGCAGTCAGATTTGAAGATGGGAAACACTAACTTGGAACCCCAATTAAGTGGAATCTCAACTGCATTATTCTCCCTGGTTTATCTCTATTAACAAAAAAATATACTCAGTTGTTTCACTGATAATAAAAATCTTTGGCAATTTGTTTTTTATCTCTTACCGTTGAATGTATTTATCTAGTATCCTTGGATTGCCTATCTACTCACAAAGCCCAATGAACTGCTTTTTTGCAATAAAATGTCACCAATCCTCAGCATAGAGAAATGATGGCCAGAGTGAACCTTTTTTCCTGGCATTTTATTGACAACAGATTTTTTTAATGGGATGCTATTTGATAAGAAGGATATTATTCCACACAGTAAGAAAAACTGGGTCCAAAGCCTGTTTACCTTGCATAAAAGTTCTTAATCCTCATTCCTACAGGAGAGCGTTGTTAGCTTGTCGTTATAATGGAGATGCAGCTCTCTTGGGGCTTTTCAGAGAGCCCTCTCTTCTTCGTTCTCCTTGACGTGCTCTCGGCCGACCACACTCCACGCAGCAGGCTAGGGAACGGACAGGTCCGAATTCGGTGTGGTCTGGAGATGTCACATGTTGCTAACAATCTGCATGTAACGGCATTGATCTTACAAGAACAGATATCTTTTCATGTGTTCATGCTTTTTTAAGTGTGCAGCAAGGATAAGTACACAGCTCCGGCTACTTAAATAGGTTGCTCCTAATATCTTTTAAGCTCGTACACCTTCATGAAAAATGGAAGCGTTGGGTAAATGCAGAAAGAAGGCTGATGCCCCAGCACTCATGTTGAGAGACAGCCCCAAAGAGCTTCTGAATTTCCCTTTCCCGTCTCTACTCCGTCTGATAGAATCACTCCGGATGTGAACGGAGTCCGTGCAGTGGGGTTTTCCTTCCTGTTCTGGGTGAGTGGGTGATATTTTGGGTCTCCATCAGGCCAACCGCGTTGGTTTTTATTTTGAAGGGAAATTTGAGAACGGTGTCGCAGAAGGAATGGTGGATCCAAATCTAAACCCCATTTCAGCCTTTCGACTCTCAGTTATTCATAATTCTGCTGTTTGGGCCATTCTTAATGAGGTAAGAATGATTGGCAGGTAAAATTTTTTTAAATTAAGGACTATAATAATTTTATGATTGCCTGGTTATTTTAAAGGAGATAATTATAAGCCTCTTAAAATAAAATTTTAGGAAAAGTTTATTGGAATAAAGAATTCTTTACAGGTAAAGAAAATGTATGGATCTATCTATATACAGTCAAAATTCAGTGTAAAATTAGAAACTCATGAAATAGAAAAATAATCATGTTAAGGATTTACATAAGACAGAAAGTTGAAGATTTAGTGTGTCTTGAGGTTTTTCACTAGTTTTATAAAATATAACAACATTTTGGCTGATTATCAGGGCTCCGTTAAAATTAAAAATATTTTTAAAAATGTATGCAGTGCTACATTTTGATTCTGAGTTTAAGATCTTTGTGGAATTGAGGATTTACTGCTTTATCACCTTTTATCCTTTTCTGTTTCAGATTCATATTAAAAAAGTCACCAACTAGCCATCTAAGAAACCAGTACTTCCCCCCCACCCCCACCCCGTGAATTTGTTACACAGAGTTAAGCATGGCTTTGTTCGTTTCCTTTGCTTGAACACTACCTCGTGTGAAATCTACTGTAGAGAAGATTATCATTTCCACTTGGAAAGTGATTCACCCATGGATAATTGTATTCATTTGAACCTCAGCTGTCCTCCAATTTTAACTTGACTCAAACATTTTACAGTTACGACAGCCTGTTAATATGACTTGTACTATTTTGGTATTATACTAATACATAAGAGTTGTACATATTGTTACATTCCTTAAATTTGGAAAAAATTAAGGTTAAATTTTATGAAGGGGGTACTTTTGAAGTTCGTTTATTTTATTATAGACCCTCTTTTTTAGATTATCAGGGATTATATATATAAGTGTAAAGTTATGAATATACATAAAAATGTTATGGAGTTAATTTATTAGAAACACTTAAGAAGTACATATTTTTGTGCAGTAAATTTTTGAATCAATTTTTTTGGACAACCAGTTACCTTGCTTTTTTAAGTTCTTTCTATATTTTTTTTTTTGAAATGCCAACATTACAACTTAATGCCATTTTTCAAATGCACTGCCATTTAGGAATGTTTCTGGATTGATTTCCTAACCGAAGTACTTTTTATAAATCAGTGATTCTAAACAAAATATTTTCAAAGACATTTGTCATTCTTGAAACCCAAGATTTTAAAGACCAGGGTTCTTCCTGAGGGTTATTCTACTATACTGTGTATAGTGTATAGCCAAGAAAACCAGTGTGAGACATCTCAGTGCGCAAGTGTGATGCATTCCACCTTCATTAGACTTAGCTCACCCGTTTCCCTGTGGTGTGGAAAATGACAAGTTCCTCTTCCCTTTGAACCATTGTCTTTAGTCCATGAGCTAAATGTATTATCCCTCCTCTTGTTGATTCTTTTATATCTGCACTCCTTTTACAAGTTCTCACAAAATATTTTCTAGGCAATGGTATTGTATGAGTCATAAGATAATTGGTATAATTTTAAAGAAAAATAAAATTGTAATACTGGTTATATATGGTGAAAGGTATTGTAGCGATTGTATGTTTTTCCCAAATAATTATTCTCTTCTATTATGAGCTTTCAAGAAAACCTCATGTCCAAAAAGAACTTTGTGACTGTCAATCATGAAATTACAAAAAACATTCTTGCTATTACAGGCTAAGAATGTAGGAGGGCTTTAAAAAGTTCATAGAAAAATTCCAACACACACACACACACACACACATATTCCCAACACCTGAGCTGCCCAGCCTGTGTACCCTGCCATAATTGTAGCTTGTTCACAGATGTCAAAGACTGGTCGGTCCCCTTAACCTTCAGCTAGTTGCCTTCAGCCTGAAGGCGCTCTCCCTGTTTGCCCAGTGTGCTGAGCAGAGCATCAAACCCCATCATTGCTGGGGCAGTGTCAGGAAATGCAGAAGACTGGCAAACATGGATAGAGTCGTTTTCTTCCTCCCTTCCAATTTGTCATCGTTTCTAGTTACTTTTTTTGGTCAAGAGCTCACATGTTGCCAAAAATGGCTTTCATGTGAGTTCATGTTTAGTTAAATTTTGATTGTTTTTTTTTTCACTCTCTTGAATTTACTTTTTATTTACCTTTCAAGTTTTCTTGGATCTATGGCTACTGGAAAATTTAATTTACAAAGAAATGTATCCTTTCCATTGTAAACAAATTGCCACCAGCATAGCACAGTAAATTTCTGCTAAAACAACTGTGAGTAACTCAAGGTAAAGATCTTTGACGATAGGTCGTGAAGGTGTCCCTTGGTCCCCGAGTAGCCAACTGGTGAAAGACTGGGCTTTGGAAAACCTCTCTCTAAAACAAAAAAAACCCCGCAAACTTACTGCCATCGAGTTGATCCTGTGACTCGGGGTGACCCTATAGGAGAGGGTAGAACTGTCCCATGCATTTCCAAGACTGTAACTCTCTACGGGAGTAGAAAAGCCCTGTCTTTCTCCGGAGGAGCGGCTGGTGGTTTTGAACTGCTTGGATCGAAGGCCCATTCGGAACCCTTCTGAAAAGCCACGGGAGGGAAAGTTGTTGCTGCCCCTTCCCATTGTATGGCTTCTTTCAAGACCGCGTCTTGTGTAGCCAGCCGATTTTGTTTTGTTTTTATCATTTTATTGGGGGCTCATACAACTCTTATCACAATTCATACATACACCCATTGTGTCAAGCATATTTGTACATTTGTTGTCATCGTCATTCTCAAAACATTTTCTTTCTACTTGAGCCCTTGGTATCAGTTTCTCATTTTTCCCCGTTCCTCCCTCATGAACCGTTGATAATTTGTAAAAAAAATTTTTCATGTCTTACACTGACCAATGACTCCTTTTGTGCTCAGTATCACCCCCTCCTTGCCTTTGCTCATGCTGTTCATTTACCTCTCCTGGGGATGCTCCAGACTAGACCTTCTGGTGTCCTGCTCCCTGAAAATTCTGTACCGGAGTCTGCTAGGGCTGGGAGAGGGCCTGGCACACGGTCGGTGCCTAGATGAGGGGACCAGCGATCCCAGCCTACAGCTATCTCTCTCTTCTCTTAATTGCTGCCACCCACTTGTCTCTGCCACCCACTTATGCACATACTCAACGATCTAGTTTTTATTTGTAGGGTACATGTATGTGTTTGTGTGTGCTATTTCTCTGACCAAACTTGAAGCTCCATGAGGGCAAGCCCATGCTCATCCTTCTGATCTGCCCTCCCTCCTCCTCCCCAGTTCTACACTAGCCAGTGAGAAGCAGGCACGCTGTACTCAACAAGAGCCTGTGGCAGCGTCCCGTGAGCATAATGTTGGGCAGTGACGGGTTAGGGGTAGAAGACCCCGTGAGAGTAATGTTGGGCAGTGACGGGTTAGGGGTAGAAGACCCCGTGAGAGTAATGTTGGGCAGTGACGGGTTAGGGGTAGAAGACCGGAGGACAGAAGCACACTCCTAGAACTGAGGGAAGGTAAATATTTAGCCATGGCACATGTAACCACACTGCAACCAAAATATCTAGTGCAGCAGTTCTCAACCTACGGATGGTTCTCAGTCTTTCACAGGGGTCACCCATTCATAACAGTAGCAAAATTACAGTTATTTTTGAAGTAGCAACGAAAATAATTTTATGGTTGGCGGGTCACCAAAACATGAGGAGCAGCATTAAGAAGGTTGAGAACAACTGATCTAGTGGGACAAAGGTGTCATACAGTGGGACTAAGTCTATATAAAAATAGGACATGGCTTGGCATCTGGCATGCAGTTTGCATAATCTCTAGATCTGTGCTGTTCTGTATAGTAGCCACTGGCCACACAGAGTGGCTCTTCACATGCAGATTAATTGCTCAGTCACTAGCTGCATCTCCAGCACTCATTGCAGATGGCTAGTGGCAGAGAGATAGTAAGCAGCAGGGAGCGTAGATAGGTCTTTATCCAGGCGAGCCCTCCCTATATCCAGCAGCCCGGATTAAGTGCCAGTTCTTTACCAGTGCTGAAGAAGGCATTGTGGCTGTAGAGCAGGGCATCAGAGGATAAAAGTCAGGAACCAATATGGAGAAAGGGGCTTCTCATAGCCAAGCTGCTACAAATCTCCCAGGAGGCAAAGGAGGGGAAGTATCTTTAAAATCAGAGGAACACTCAGACGAGCAACTGGAATCTTTGCCCAACCAGGACACCTGGGATGATTTCCTCCAGGACTGGAGATACATGGAAGGTGAGGCACACAGAAATGAAGTGCTCTCAAAAGCAGATTTTGAGACATATCAGCCTGGGGGCACAGAGAAGAGGCGGCACCAGTGTTGAGATGTGCTTGTAAGTGTGCATGATGTATACTGCACTCCTTCATGGGGACGGCCAGCATCCTCTGTGCTCTTACAGAGTGCCCCACCCAGCATCCTGAGAATTAAACCAGTAGATGACATCTATTTGGGTCCACCTTGTGAAGAATCAGCCAACCTTCCCGCTCCTGAGAACATGTTCCAGGCCCAGCACATCCAGGCTCCCCTTGAGGAGCAGGTCTAGAACACGCAGCAGGGGATCTCTGTTGAGGAGATCCAGGTGGCCAGATGGAATCCCTAGACCCTGGGCCCCACAGGGTCATCTCCCTGCCTGGGTTCTGTGTTTGTTTCTGAGACTCCATAGGCCAGCAATTGTGGTTAAGTGCGGACTCATCTAGTTCTTGGCCTTAAGGACAGTTGAACACCTGCATCACAAATACTGCAAAAGACAGCAGTGGCTCCACAGAGTGGAATGAGTAGAAATCTCTAGGAAGTAGGGGAGAAAGGAAATCGGGAACAAAGGAAGTGCTTGACTCAGCTCATTGAAACTTGGAACCTCCAGGAATCCTGGAATCCCCTCAAAGAATGAGAATACATTGGACATAAGGGAGACGTAGACATGAAGATCCGAAATAGAGTGCTGTCAAGAGCAGTTTACAAGAAACTCTGGCTTAGTTTCTGCAGGATTTACACTGGCCTCTCCTACTCAGATCCTCCCTGTACAGCATCGACCAGCCTCCTGCTTACTGAGGACCAGCTGCAGGCTCTACCTTGCCAAGTTCAGGGTCCTCAAGTATCCAGATGGCAACCATGGAACTTGTTCACCCCAGGCACCCCCATATCTCAACAACTGTGGTCTACCTCTGACTGATCAAAATTCACATGACTCTTCCATTGGAGGTACCATGGTGGTTTAGTGGGCCACCGGTTGGGCTGCTAACTCCAAGGTTAATAGTTCAAAAGTGACAGCTGCTCTGTGGGAGAAAGATGAAGCTTTCTACTCGCCAAATAGTTAAAGACTTGGAAACCCAATGTAGCCGTTCTACCATGCCCGCTAGGGCCGCTGTGAGTCAGAATCGATGCTATGGCAGGGAGGGAATTTAAGTGGCCACCACAGGACAGAACCCTAGTGGCATAGTGGATTTGAGTTGGGCTGCTTACTGTACGGGCAGCAATTTGAAACCGCCAGCTGCTCCTCGGGAAAGATGACGCTTTCTATTCCTGCAGAGTTACAGCCTCGGAACGCACAGGGGCAGTTCTACCCTGCCCTGGAGGGTTACCAGGAGTCAGAATTGACTCGGTGGCAGCAAGTTTGCTTTAGTTAGTGGCTACCACCCTAGACAGCGCAGAAAGTTTACTTTAGAAGCCAGAATTCGCTCAGTAGGAGGTTACGAACAATTCTGTGGAATATACCATCATGCCAACGCTGATGAGTATTTTGGGTGAGAAGAAAAAGTTGAAAACCCACAGCCTATTTCTAGGATTCTTAGACCCAGGATTTTGAGTCTCATCGTTCCAAAGCTCATGCATTGCCATAGCATCACTGCATCACACTGTATAGGCAGGAGAGCCTGCCCGTTGGAGGGAGTGTGATGGACTTAGCGAAATGTAAAGGCAAATAAATTAGCATGTAGGCTCTGGACACTGCTAAGTGTGTAGGTGAATTCAAGCACTGGAGATGACATTGAGCAAAGGTAGAGGTTCCGTTTAGATGTCTTAATAGTGAAAATGGTGGTCTGCCCAGTAATGCCTCCCTTCCAGCATGTTCAGAGTGCAAAAAAAACTATGTATGTGGGGGACGGACCTGCAGCCTTTGAAAGTGAACTGAGCTTATGAATATATGACCCATGATTATTATGCTATAAATCAAAAGGGAGAATATCTAAGTGACTGCTTCTAATCATGCAAGCCGCCCGAAAGCCATTTTCTCAGACTGGGTAGCTGAAGCCTGAGATTTAAAAGCGGGATGGAAGCCTAGGGAGAAGGAATGCAGGTGGCTGAGGAGCTGGGAGAGCCCCCCTGCTGGCAGCCTAGGAAACCGCAGCCCCTCAGTCCCAGGAACTGAATTCGGCCAAGGATCGGAATGAGCAGGCTTCAGAGTAGACTCTCCCCTGGAACTCCAGATAGGCAGCAGTCATCCTGGCCTTTCCAGCCCTCTGTGAAGCCTCAGCCCTGGCCGGCAGGGCTGTGAGGTGATAATGGGTGTTGGTAGCCACTGTGTTTGTTTGCAGCCATAGAAAACTAATCTAGTTCACAGAGGTAAAGAAGACCGCGTCCTTAGACGTGCTTCCCCAGGGTAAGTCAGGAACTTCTAGAGGAGGCCGGAAGTAACTAGACTAGTCCCCTGGGCTTCATCGGGGCTGCGCGCTGCCCCAGCTCTCCAGTGGTCTGGATGAAGCGGCCAGACCCTCGGCGCACTTCTGGACACCGGCGTGTAGGGTTGGAGTTGAGAATCTGTGTCAGGAAATCTCTTCTGGAGGACGTCTTGCATCGGGTTGCTGAGAGCCGGTCACATATGTACTAAAGAATGGAGAACAGTGATATTCTAACGAGAGAAAAATGACGCCTGCCTTTTGGTAGAGATTAGGTCATCTCTGTATGGAGGGACTGTGATTTAAAAACCCAAACCAGTTAATTATCTAGCACTGATGAAATCCTTAATTTGCCAGTTTGGAAAGTGCTTTCCACATTAGCTCTCTGCTTCCAAACCAGTCATTGCTAATGAATTGTTTTGGATTTTGGCGTCCTGAAACTTAGTAATTTTTTTGCATATTTTCCCCCAAGGTGTCCAGGTCTGTAAAGAAAACAGTGCTAATGGAAAGATGAGAGGAAGGCTATCAAAGGGTCAGAAAATGGCGTCATAATGCAATTGTAGTGGTAAGGACACTTGGGTCCTTCTATAGCCGAGGAACCCTTCCCAGCTATATAGTAAGTAATGTGACACATTTCAGCTTTCCTTTGAAGGTGGTGAAGTTTTAAATGATTCCTCTTGAGATATACACACGATGTCTGCTTACTTTATTTCTTTAATGCCTGTGAACATATACTGCTGAAAGGATCAGGACCACAGTATTATTTTTAAAAAAAACAAAACTAAGGTTTTGTTACACCTTTATCAATAATGCCTAATAGATGAACTCCTCCTTCTCACCTGGAATGCTCAACTCCAGTTTGGGCTCTGCCCAGGTCATTTTCAGGGGAACAAACCAGAGCCAGCTAGCAAGCCAGTGTGTGGAGAATTGACAGGGCATGGATCAACAAAGTACGGGGAGTGCTGAAAGGAAATGGCTTTGTACAACGATCAGTCCACTGTTAGTAAAAATGTCATGAATAGCGGTGCTGAGCCTCCTGAAGTAAAGCCCTTTGTGGTGGAAGTTGGGGCGGTGCTCTTGGAAGTTAGGAGGCCGTTGTACTTATCACTTAGCTCCTAGTTGTTTCATTGCAATAGTGATTAGCAAAGTATCCTGCAATCAAAGGCTTGGGACTTGGGTGTGATTATCATTCCATGACTTAATTTGAAATGCTGTGTGCTGAAATTTGGTGAAGCGATCTTCTGAAAGCTGTGTTCTCTGAGCCTTAAAAACGGCTAGTTTCAATTGTGCTGTAAGATGCACTGCCTGCAGTCTGATTATGCTTTCTGATGGGGGATTTAGAAATCGGCCAAACATAACAACTGATTTTATGGAATGACAAACTAAAGCACGTCTCATTCACAACACTTTCCCTCAGAAAGGGTGCAACTGCCCCGCCATCATCCCTCAGGTTATGCCAGGCTTTCTTACGGAGCCTCCTGTGTGTCCTTTGGCTGTCTTCGATGGAGGGGTCAGTATCGTAGTGCTAGTGGAGGTGCCTGTTGGGTTCGTACAGGAAGACTTATTTTCACAGTTTGCTGCTGTCAGTGGAAATGTACTAACTGGCCCTGCTGCCTGTGCCTTTCCTCACTGTTCTTTGTGCCACGTGTTCATGTGTGTTAAATAAAGACACTGAAAAAGCCATGCTGGTTCAAGATGCTTTCTAATAAAGTAGGTTAAATCTGAATGACTCGTAGTATTTTTTGTTGATGTTATACTGTATGTAATAGGTTACTTCCATCTATTCTCAATTAGGAAATGGGGAGTGTGTCCTACATTTGGGTTTTTGGAGTCTGCCAAGAAAGTGGTTCCCAAAATATGAGTAGCCATCAGAGATGTTTTTATAGGGAAAATGTTAGTGATGGTTAGGGTGAGCAGTGGGGTCACTCTTGCTGAAACGGCATTGCGGACTACATAGGCTTTTAAAGATAGTGTGAGAGCAGGTGTTCAGAACTGTTTAAAATACAACACATTAGAAATGGAGCTTGACTATGCACCTGAAGAGGGAGGTGTAGGGAGGTACCCCCCCAAAAAAAGGTTCATGGGAAGTCAGTCACTGAAGATAGGGGTGCACTAGCAAAGTGTGGTGAAGCAATCAGATGGTACTCAGTTATCAGACTGACATCAGGGGCTTAAAGCTTGTGTAAAACAGCCGTCCAACAGGGGTCAGCTAAATCCACATGGAAGAAGCACATGAGCCTGTGTGATCCAAAGATTGTAAATAAAATGTAAAGTGGGGGGAGTTATCAAGAGTGTGAATTGTGAACACCTGAATTGTAGAAGGCTATGGACGACAGTGGAAACCCCACATCCATTTATTTGCAGGGTCCCCACCTGGATTAGGCCTTTGGTGAATCCTCTCAACATAGTCCAGAGAATGTGACTAGCCTTGCTACATAGTATTATAGATTCTGGCAGATGCAATCAGGTTGAAATGTTAACACCTACCATTTGATCTCTTTTGACCCACTTTAAAGTTGTTTTTAGTATTTTCTGCCTTTTGAGGTTTATGTTTTGTCTTTTTGTTTCTTGCTTTTTATTTTATATAGTTTTTTTGTATGTGAAATCCAAGATAGGTAAATCTAGAGAGATAGTAACTGGATTAATAATTACGTGGGGACATGGCAGAGGAGGTTGGGAGGAAATAGGAAGCTAATGAGTACAAGACTATGTTCTAGGATAGATTGTAGTCATGATTGTACAACTTTTGACATGATTGAACTGTTGAATATAGTTTTTTAAGTTCATGGAAAATTTCCTGTCTTTTAATTCCATTTTTCCACGAACTTTTGGAAGGGCCCTTATATGTTGTTACCATTCTCTGAATGAATACCCGTCCAAAGTATTGCCCAATTTATATTAAAAACCGTTGACCATTTCTAGTTTGTCTATGCCCTTGTCATTCGTGTTTACGCATCAGAATAAAATACATACTTTAGTTTCAAAAATATTTATTGTAGAAATGTACATTTTATTAGTTTTAGGAATGTATTTGACAGAGTTCACATATATTTCCTCAAATCTTCAAACTTTACACGTTTAGATATCTACAATGATAATTTATTTACAAACTTTACAAGAAACCACCCCTACTCTACCAAACCTGTGCCCCGGGCTCAGCTGTAAGCCGCTGCTTCTCACTTCACTCTGTACTTGTAGAAGGAGCACAGCGTGTGAGTGAAGTTCCATCCGAGCGCCAGGGACAGCCCGTAGAGCAGAATGAGGGGCGCGAAGGGATAGAGAAGGATCACCGTGTTTTTCAAAAAGGGCAATGCTGGAAAAGAAACACCCAGTTAACAGGGAACGGACCTGACTAATGAACACTGGAACTCGCTCTTCCAGCGGTGCGAGGTCAGGGACGCACATTCGAATCCATACAGTGATGCCATCTCTAGCGACTCTGCTGTGCTGACACTGGAGAGCATGTCAGCATAAAGGCTGAACGATAATCGAATCTGGAACCAAGGTGAGTGAGAGGCAGGCACCACAAATATCACTACGGGAAGTGGTGCATTTACGCCTGTGACTGCCGCAGAGCCGCCAAGAGTCCATTTTCAAGAACCAACAGAAGAACGTTATTTTGAGGAGAAAGTTTCGTCCGTTTGGGATTTCCAATAGTACGACAGCAATGACATGCTGCTTTGAGATGGTGAGATCGTAACTGCATCCTATATTAACTACATCTGAAGCAAGAACTAAAGCTCTTTCCCGCCCATCACTTAGTACTAGGACCTTGCTTCTGGCATTCTGACCAAAGTGTTTCTCATAACTGCAAGTGGACACTGTGCTGTCCCCCCAAAGAAACTGTTCTCAACGGAAGGGGTTTACCAGGAGCATTCTCAACAGTCTGCTCAGAGAACAATGGTATTGTGTTCTAAGCACCATTTCAGAAGTTAGAAGTTCCATGGGAAACTGGACTGTAAGTCATAAACATCTTCCCCACCTAAATGAAACACTACATGTTGATGGGGTTACGTGGTCCCTGGCAGGGGAGCCATCAGGAGGGATAGGGCAAGTCTGACCAGAGGAACCTCTCAAATCCAGGAATTAATTATGTTATAGGAAAGCCCTAACATTCAAAATAACAAGGGATAAAAGAAAAAAAGATAAGGCAAATAAGAAGAAAAGTCTCATCTATTTAGCTCTATTTAATGGAGATAATTTGTTAGCATAAATATGTTCATGTTAAGAAAAATGAACTGAAAACAAGATTTAACAATGCATTTGCAAACAGGTCTTGAAATCAGTAGAAGGGCTGATCTTCAGTAGTCATCTACAGACCCTGTAGAACATTTCCAGGGGTGGGTCTCTATCCCAGAGCGGCCACCAGGCTCCTAATAGAGCCATGCAGTGGTCAGAAAATGGAAATGAAGCAAATAAACAATTCAGAAAGGCTTTGTAGATTTAGATCTACATATCCCTGTGCCCGTATGGAATCCAATTCCCTTCTCCTCACTGTGCCCTGAAGGAATGAGAAAAGGGAAAGGAAGCCTCCAAGACAGCGACCAATCGGGTGCTTTGAAACGGTCTGATGTGCCATCTGGCACATGCCGCTCCCCAGCTTGTGGCCAGGAACCAATGCCCCCGGGTTTTTGTTTCCACACTTGAGCAACGGATCAATAAACCTGTATGATACACTTGCTGTGACGATTCAGTAGGATATGGGACGTCCCGTTTGGAAAATACTTGGGACAGTGCCTTTAGTAAGGGCTCCGCAGAGGTAAGCTACTAGTATTTCTATTTCAACTGTTGCCCTCCTCCCCAGTTGAAAAATAAATGAATTTTTAAACTGACTTACCACTGTAGCCAAGGAAGGTTACGTAGATGTAATAGCCAACTGCAGTCAACCATAAAGTATTTCCAATGAAGTAGCCAATAAATGTGTCCGTTAGGATAACATCTGCCAGGGGAGAGGTGAACAATGACTGTCTAGGCCAGTACATGTGATGAAGGCTTTGTGGTAATATTGTGAGAACTGCGACTTACAATTGATGAAAAAGAGCTGGATAAAATGCAAAATGACCAGGAGTGGGTAGAAGGCATTCAAATGCACATCAAAGGCGTAGCCCCACTCCACATCGGAATCTCTACTCTGTCGCTTCACTAAGTACTTGTTAGAGACGAACCTGAAACACACAATTATTCCCATACGACAATTTCAGTTGCACCTAGAGTGACCCGGGCTTGAACTGCACAGGTGTCGTGAGAATGTGCTTAACATGCCATGTGATGCTAACCGTCTCCACGTGGGCTGTGTGTCTCTTCTGCAGCGATGATTAACATCACACGGTGTCAGAAGCTCAGTCATCAACGGAGAGGGGAAGAGCCACAAGTTTAAGTGGGACTACAAGCTGACAACCATTCTGTTACAGGGTCGGCTGTAATTCATAATACAGTGGGCTCTGTGTCTGGCTCTCAAGTACTGGAAATAAACCCAACCAAAAGCGTTGCCTTTTAGTGGGAGAACACCGACAACCGTGAGATGCACGTCAAACAGTATGCTGGAGGAAGTAACCATGCAGGGCTGAGAGCAGTCTGAAATCAGCTGGACAGGAGGAGGGCCCAGTGGAGTACAGACTGACTCTGGGTTGATCCCAGGCCTGTTTTTGAGAGTAGAGACCATGTGCCTGGAATGGAATGCAGTCAGAAAAGAAACAGAGGCTTGTAGGCGATTTTAAGGCCTCTGGCTTTTCTTCTTGGACTTGAAAAGCCATTGAGTTTTCAGAAGACTGACTTTTTTTATTGAGAAGATCCCTCTGGCTGCCCAGCTGAGTGTGGGGCAGGAGTGGGGAGGGACCAGTCAGAGGCTCCTGTCAAAGTGAACTGGTGGTGTAGCGAGAAGTGGGATACGGACTATCCAAGGAGGCTTCAGAAGTTGTGTGAAAGAAGGGAATTTTTTCCTTTCCACGCCCCTTCATATCTGAAAGGTAGAGCCTGAAGGATTTAAGAGCCGGATGTGGATGTGAGAACAAGCAACACCAAGGCTGGCTGGGAGGTCGCTGCCAGGAGCAAAGGGTAAGCAGGAGCTCCCGCTGAGGTGGGGGTGCTGCAGAACAAGCGCATGTGGACCCAGGCTTGCTTGGACCTGTTGAAGATGCCCGTCAGTAAAGAGCAAGAAGTCATATGTACACGTCTAGGGTTCTGCAGAGACACGGGGGCTATACGCTTATCAGCGTGTAGATTACATGACAAGCCACAGGCCTCAATGACCACCAAAAGCAAAAGCACAGAGAACAGTCCAAGGGCTCACGCATGGCCACCCCTATTACCAGGTCAGGGAAATAAGTAGAAGGCGGTCAGGGCACAGTGGCCAGTGATATAATATCTTGTCATCAGAACAATCATTCAAATTTATGTCACTTCCACAGCTTGAAAGACTAGTTGCTCGGTTCAATAAAGAGTGAATGAATCCCACTGAACTCTAACCCCAATCCAAGAACAGTCAGTTCTGATAACATGACCTTGCTCGATACTCACCTTCATGAAATGATCACAGAAGACAAGGGTGGTACAGCAAAGTGTGGTGAAGAAAGCAGATGGTGCCCAACAATCAGTCAGCAGAATAGTGTCTGGGGTCTTAAAGGCTTGTATTCAAACAAGCAGCAATCTAAGCAAGGAGTTAACCAAGTTCATACGGAAGAAGCGCACCAGCTTGTGTGATCCAAAGACGACAATAACAAAATTCAAATATGACAAAGGGAAAATCTATCAGAGTCCAAATTGCAAACACCCAATTTGTGGAAAGTTGTGAAGGACCGTGGCAAATCCCCTCTACCCACAGGCAAGGGTCTAGAACAGCTTTACTATCAGATAAAGACCACTGTCATCCTGATGACACTGGATCGAATTGGACACTTGGTCAGTTGACCTCCCTCATGACACAACGTGAAATTGTTCTAGGTGCAAGTATTTCTTGCTTGTACCATGACAAAAATTTCTTCCCTGGCCTCTTAAATATTCATGGTGGTCATTTCTTACTCATATTTTTATCTCTGTATTATTAGTATTTTATCCTTACCACTTTATTTTGTTTTGTTTTTTTACTGTTTCTGTTGGGTTTTCCAGTCTGTGAAGCACAG